CAAACGTTGGATTCCTTTCAAACCTGCCAATACGGGGAGACGACCTATTCTCTATCGCTCACTGGGCGCAATTTATGTCCACAAGAGCTTCGACCTTTGAGCAGAATTTGCATACAACTCACCCGAGCGTATACCATTGACGTCAGACGATGTTCATTTCGCTGAGCTAGGAAAGTTCTATGACGTTTTTTACCTTGCCTAGTCATTTCGCGGACGTGCTACCCTGCACGTCTTCTAGTTTCTCACGTTTTTTCTACATAATCTCTTACTTTAAGTCACGTTTCGTTTCCTTCAATCTTGCACTTAACTTCTCTTCCTTTTGTTTTAAAGTAATTACTCTGCCATCTTGTTTAACTCAATTAAAACGCAATCTTCGTTTCTATTCAGGTCATTAATCCGCTATGTTGCTATCGTTTTTCCTAGATTTGAAGTCGTGCTAGTGTGCACGTTTTCCTAGGGCACAGAAGGTCACGGCGTTTGCCCTTGGATTTTTTATTCGTGATAAACTGCACGTTTTTCAATATTCATTGTAGCTGTTTTTCCCGCTTCAAGCTATTTTCCCGCTTTTTCCCTACAACATTTATTTCATGTTGTTTTTGCTTTCTCCCTAGTCAATAAAAATTCAATGTTTTTTTTTTGCAATGTGCTTTCTTTATTCACGACCTTACATTACAAATAGGACGTATAAGTCACCGACTGTGACTTGCCTAAAATTCTTCAAATACACGCGGATACATGACAAAACATTTTAGTTGCATCTGAGCTTTTTGGAACGGTGTTGAGTTCATATATTTCCAATAACCAGAATCTGTGATGTCGTCCATACATAGTTTTAAACTCACGATGCGTACACAATGTGTACACAATTCATCGCCTGCTGCGTTTTTCCAAAGCGTAAATTGGCACAATTGTCTGTGTTTTAATTCTTCCAAGGTCGTTCTGGAACTATATCAAAGCAACAGCGTTTTACAAGTTTAATGCACTTCGGAAAACCTCCTGTTTAACCGTTCAAGTAATTCTTCGGGATACTCGTCAGGGTTTTGAAATAACACATCTCTATCAGGAATAGCACTGTACACTCTAATAAATTGCCTAGTGGCTTCAATAGGGTCAAAATCATTATCATAGCTTTGAAATTTAATCCAGTCATCAATCAGAAGGTTAAACACCCCTAATCTGCAATCGCAGTGACATTTCACGTCGGTATACGCCCAAAGACTGAAAGGGCAACAGGGGGCACATTTGATTTGACAAAGGGATTTTCTAGAAAAGATAAAGGAGAAAGTCACTTTCATTAACTGAGTTCTTCCACTGAAAAACCTACGAGTCTGGAATACAATTTTATTATACAATCACTTTCTTTCTACCAGTTAATGTGTTGTCCTTTCCATGCGATTCTTAACCCGTCTAGTGTTAAATTCAGATTAAAAATGCGTTCACATTGTCCGCAATCGGAAAAGGTCAGCCAACTACTAAAGGGGCAATACATTGTTTTTTTCCAATGTCTTAGTTCCTGGACAACGTGTCTACAATAAAAATAAAACGAAACACTACATTGGCAACCATAAAACAATTAAACTTGCAGACCAATTTAAATCTTTACACATTTCTATCCTTTCACAGGATGCCCTAAATAAGATTGAGAAACCACTTTGTGAATGAATGTGACCGAGAAACATCAAGCACAAGTTTCGAAAGGTTGAAAACATGTCTAAAACAAAGCAATCAACTTCTTACATTTAGTTTACAAAATTTACATATAACTGAATATACAGGAAAAAGTTTTCAGGTTTTTTCCACGATGCAAAGGTTTCCATGCAGGCGTTCACGAAGCCACAAAAAATATAGACTGGCCATCGTTATTTGGCCGTGTCTCTGTAGGCTTCTATTAATTTTAGCGTAATTCTATAGTGGATAATTGACAAGAAATATTTTCATAAATAGTGGTAGGTCCAAATCTCTTAACAATCTAAGATTCATAAGGGTTTTTCTATGAACAAACAAAACAAAATTTCAGTACTTAAACCACTTTACACTTTACCCATTTGCACCCTCCAACAGAATTTATAACACTTTATAAATTCGCAGCCTCCAACAACGCGGCTTCAATCAAGGCACAGCGAATGAGATAATCGCGTTACTGTAAGCGACCAGTGCACTTTTTTCAATAGCTTTACATTCCTAAGCGTCCTAACAGCGCCACGTGGCTAGGAAACAAACTCCATGTCCAGTTCAAATGTTCTACCTCCTTAAATTCTTGCATCACATATTTGAATTTTTTGGCGTGTTCTTTTTGCATTTTTTTCTGTTGTCTGTGAATTCTTTCTCTTCCAGTTCTATCCTCACGCTGTGCCAGGGCGGCAGGAACTGGCGGGCTGTCTCGCCGGGGTTCTGTACAGCGTTTAGCGCGAGCTGCTGTAAAGTACCAGGACTTGAGGGTTCACGAGGTTCTCGGAAGCTCAGCCGAGGAAGTGGTTTTAATGGAGAAAACGAACGTGCCATCGTAGACAAATTTAGACGAATCTCAACAGCTAGCGAAAACAACTTACTCAAGGCGCAGCCTTCTGCGAAGTGACGCTTCGTTTTAGCTACCATGCTATACATAAAACACACTTGTACTCGATCATTGGTTCCTTTCGTTTTCCCTTGGGTTCTCCATCGTTCTGATTTGTTCGCCTTGTTCCATGTGCTCCTACCACACCCTTACCCTTTCCATATCGCACATGTTCCCTATTGTTTTAAACCATTTCGCAATCTTACCCTAAGCACGTTTTCTTCCTAAATTCATGTTTCTACTTTCTACACACATGTTTTTTATTTTCGTTTCCTCTTTCTCTATTTGATTTTTTCTTTCCCTGCCTTTTTTCTCTCTTTGCGTTGCTTTTCGGTAGGACATGCCACATGTCACGGCTCCTTCAATTGACTGATTTTGTATATTTAATGACTGACGCTGGTTCATTATTCTTCTCCTTTGTTTGACAGCATTTCGCAATCTTACCCTTGTCGCGAAACTTCCTACATTTATGTTTCTACTCTGTTTTTTATTTTCGTTTCCTGTTTCTTATACATGCTTTCTTATTTCCCTGCCTTTTTTCTGTTGTCCTTCTTTCTAAGCCACAAAACACATTTAGCAAGGATTGTTTTTGCCAGCGCTGAATATTCTTTTCGTTTGGAAAACCCTTTGCCAATTTGATTTTTCCCTTATTAATCGTTCCAGTGTCTAAGGGATTAGTGGGCCATCTTGTTTGACGTCAGTGACTATTACACAACTTTTTTGCCTGCACGCAAACAATTTCAGCATGCAAGTTTAAATAAATGAAGAGCATATTATAGTTTTTTTATTTTACACCAACTGTTCCAACAGTGGATGTTTTTGTTTTTGTTGTTGTTGTTGTTGTTGTTGTTTTCACTTCTAATTGTCAGCCAGAAAGGAAACACACTACCTCAATTGACTGGTCTTTGAATATTTAATTACTTTTCTGCTCCGACGACTTCCGACTGCCGAGCCTCTCCGACGACCCTTCCCGACGACTGCCAACGACTCCCGACGACTTCCGATGACCTCCTGCCTCATTTGCATCATAATGGTTGCTAAATAGACCCCTGTTACTACTCCTTTCTTTCATTTCTTTTTGAGCATCTGAAATTTGATAAATATTAGTTGGAGATTTAAACTCAATACATAAACCATTATAATCTTTATGATAATTAAGTATCAATAAATCTGGTTGACCTTTTGTATATCCCTTTTTCCAACTATTAATTCTTTTGGATGGAGTATCTTGGTTTCCCCCAAGTCCTGCTGCAATAATAGCATTTGGATAATAATTTCTAATTAGGTGAACAACTTTACAATGTAAATCCATCTCATTTTCAATCTTAAACATTTTGTTATTTGGGTTGTCAAAAAGTTTGTAGTAAACAAATTTTCTTATAGATGGGAGGACTTACGATGTTACCCATTGTTTAAACTTTTTAGCAGTTTCTAATTTAGAGGATAATACAAGGGAATAAAACCCAGATTCATTAATAAAAAAGCACTGTTGGCAACCCCCCGTCGTTTCGACGGCTCCTTTATATTTTTCCTTCTTCATTAACATGTTTTCTAAGAGCTTGGTCAGTATCACTATAACCTAGGATCTTAGCAACATCTTTTCCTAAAAACCAAATATTTTGCTTATTATCAATATATGAAGTCAACTCAAATCCTAATTCCTCATTAGTAAACTTTTTCTCCAACATGATTACTGATTAATACTTTTATAACATTTCTATATATCCATAATATAGAAATGTTAGACCGTATTGTTGCTTATGTAAATTATTACTTTCCTGAGAATAAGACACCGTGTTACGACGATAATTTTATTAAGGCTTGTCTTGTTTATAAGTATTTATGCTTTAATTTGTTAAATAAAAACATAGACATAAATTATTTACTGGTTCTTTCACAAGGGGGTTGTTTAGTTCCTTATAAAATTTCCACAACTTTTCCTAATTAGCGAATGTTTGTTTAGAAATTTTAAGACCAATCTGATGGTGTTTTTCACAACCCATTTCTTCTAAGATTTTTTTAATTAAATAAAAAACACTTATCATTCTCTTGCGATTAAAAAGTTTATTACTTTTGGAAATAGTTTCTTGATCTATTTCCATTAACCTGCTAAATAAACATTGTTCTTCTTCATCATTTAAAAACAACCTCTTAGAAAGACCTTAACTTTATTCTCATAATGGTACTTTCTCTGATATATACTTTTTCTTCGATAATGAAATCTATCATATTCTTTCAAGTCAAAATAACCAAGAGCATGACCATTAGATGAATCACATGATTCACAGAAGTAAAAAACTGATTCAACGTAAAATTCTTCATTCTGACAATTCCAACATTTGTAACGTATTGATTCATCCTCAGGTGTTTCTTGTTTGAAATTATTTATTATCTCAATATAATGTTTTATCTACTCGTCTGTGAAAGCCATTTATTATATTTGTATTTATGTTAAAGCCATGGTATTAATTTTATTCTTCATCAAAATGCGCTTATCATCATTTGCACTCAAAGCAATTTTATTTACTTCCTTTGAGTAAATATCATGATTTTCACTTCTTATAATTTTCATCGACTTCATCTTTGTCTCACCAGAAAATAAACAATGGGCATAGTTATCAAATGTTAATTCCTTTTTGACAACATTTTTCTTTATTCCTTTACACTTTCTTGTTTCCTTAAAACCTTCAACTTTAAAACTATAAAGCTTTGGTCGAAGTTCAACAAAGTGAGTAATCTGTTTGCCAGCTACTTCATCTTTGAACATTCCTATTACTTTCTTATTAACTCCTGTCAGTATTCCCGACGAGTGATCAGGTGGTTATTAGATGTGTCAAACTTTCGCCTGATATCTTTAGATATATCTTTGTAAAAATCATCCGTATGTATATGATATAAAAGTGAATCAGTATCTGTAAACATTAACTCAGCTGCATTTTTATATTTCTTTCGAATGTAATTATAATGAAAATCAAACATCAATGTTTTAGAAAGATCCAGTATTGCTTGACCAACATATACTGGTTTGTTAAAGTATACTTCAGTACGCTTCATGTGAACAGCAATAAGATTACGGTCAAATATTGTTGCTCTTTCAAAAATTGGCCTTGTAGTTAATTTTGAAGCTTTCTCACGATCATCAACCAAAATCACATTTTGTCTTTTTCTTATGTTTTCTATTGTTTTTCCAAACACTGAATTATTCATCAGTTTGAAAAAGTCTTTCTCAAAACTGTTGGCTGCTGTTTTTCTAAGTTCAGTATTCTTTCTGATGTAAGGCTCCATCCAAGAACTCTGATTAAACGATTTTCCTCTGTGAACAGCAGTTATTCTCATTCCCATCTCAAGATATTGTCTCAGATTTCGATAATGTACAACATAGTTTTTTTGGGGTTTAAAATGACAAATTAGTTTTTCAACACCATTAACAATCATTTTCTCAGGTGCGAGAGAATAGTCATTATGTGAGTTCCATAAATCACGGGGGTATTCCAAATCTACTTCAAATATATATTCTTTTTTATTTTTACTGGGATTTATCATACTCGAATTTGCTTTCTCCAATATATCCATTACGGTAACTTTTGTTAAATTTTGAATCCATTTAAATCCGTGTGTGGGAAGTGATTGTGACATTGCCCATCCGTAAAGATTATTAGCATCGAGATATTGAATGTAAGTGGAAGGTTTATCAGGATCGTAATCTCTCATGTATTTGTTATTCGCTTTTGCATATCTCTTTGATATGTGTGATATTCCTCCACGAATACCTTTTTCAAACATCATCAACATTCATAATCATGCAACAGTTGTAATTCTTGACCTGTTTCTTTAAGACATGCATCCCAAGCTAATCCGGGAGATGTATAGTAATGTGCTGGATCCAGATTGTAATGGTGAAGACAAGTTTTTCTAAAGTTCTCAAATACATCTGCTAAAAGTAGGACATCAGACTTTAGGTAGAGATCGTAATAATCTCTAATTGTTTTACATTTGAAAGTATTCCAGACATTAATAGCGTGTTGAAAATCATCATCTGATATGCCTTCATCATTTAGTTTTGAATAGAATTCTTCTTTTGGAGGTAATTGTGTTTCAGATAGTTTTTCGATTGAGGAAACATAATCATAAGGATAAACACCTTTACGAGTTATTAACTCTACGTTTTCCTTAAATATTTCTTTTGTATTATTAAAATCTTGCTGTTGCAAATTTGCAACAAGATTAGCAAGACTAGTCTGAAGAAACTTGTAAGAATCAATAAATCTTATTTCAAAATTTAACGAAACATTTTCTCCATGATTTTTAGATCTGTACTCATCAACTTTAATCTTTTTTGAAAAGGAGATGTATTTCTCTTCTGTTGATGGTATGCAGTTGAGAACACCTTGAATATTAGAAAGTTGCTTGATAAACAAATGAGCATCATATCCTTGAAGATTGTGAAGTATAACTGGAAGTATCATTGGTTTTTTACACTGAAGATTGCAACTATTATGAGCAGCTCCTCGGTATTGTCCTGTACAATGACAATGATCTCTAACTTTAATGTCATCTAGAAATTCCTCCGTACAAATATGACCGATTTCTGCTTTATTAAATGAATCTTGTTCGGAGGGTGTTAATTTAAGAAGTAATGGACGGCAAAAAAAACCTTGGTACATTTTGTTGGTTATTTTTTCGAGTTTAGGAACAAATATTGCAGAGATGTCATCACTCTCTTTGGCTTTTGTGTAAAGAATTGGTTCAAATGATATATTAGGATCTATTCCTTTGATGTATAAACAAAATCCTGATGGTTCATGTTTCTGGTAATTGTAGGAATATGAATTTTCTGGGTTAGGACTGCAAGTATTCATTGGTTTGGTAAAACATTCAAAATCAGCATAAACTACAAAAGGAATTGAAAGTTGTTCAAAGTAATTTTGGAAGTGTAACTTTGTGTTTCGTGGTGGCATTTTCACAGCAACTATTTCATTTGATGAACAATATGAAATATGTTTTTGGTATAATTCTTCTTTCGAGTAATGAGTAAAACACTTCTTGCAAATATATATTTGGCCATTTGTTCGTGAAGTTATCTGAGATCTAAAAAGACGTGAAAAGCTTTTGATTAGTGAATAATGATATTCTCCTTCCTCTTCGTAAAGGAATAGATCAATTGTTTTCTGAGCGTTTTGCTGCGCCATTCTCAGAGGATAAAACTTGTTGTTCTCATTAACCGAAAACACGTTTATTCCTGGTATTGATGATTAAGCGCTTCAAGTATGGAAATGTCTTTTAGTTTAACTGCAAAACTAATTCCTCTGGTATTTAGAGTAGTCTCGTACTGTTTTAAATCTGCTATTCGGTCATCATTTTTCTCTTTTGGGTGAAGATATCTAAGTACACACCATAGAAAACTTTTCTCATCAGTGTTTCGAATGTTAAGTATAGCTTTCTTTCGCATTATCCACTCTGGGAGAGGAATATAAGAAGACCCCCTCATTGGATTAAAATCAAAAGTGTGAATTTCAAGATTAAGTAATTCTTTAAAATACCACCCACTACCGTTATTCTGATAAATACTAATATTTTTGAAAAGATTACGAATAACTTTAGCAAGTAATTCTTTTACATCGGTTGACTTAAGATTAATATAAGTATCTGAATGAAAGTATGCTCTATCCAGTACAGTAATAGCACCTGTCATTTTTTCCATTAAACAAACCAAAACAAATCTAACTTTGATATTTCTATGATTACGGAGGAATTCTTTTAAATAAGAGGCTTTAGATCTAAAGAATTCTAAAGGTATAATATCAGTCTCTCCCTTAACAGTGTATTTATTAATAAAACCTTCAAGAGCTGATTTTTCTTTTATAATTCCTTGATTATGTTCTTTGATTGCTCTTTCAAGAGCTTTTCGAAGATAAGGAGGAGTATCAGATGGAATTGTTTTATTCTTGATACATTCCTGAAAATATTCATCAAATGTTTTTATCTTCTTTGGTTTGATTTTTTTCTTTATATCAACGCCATTGTTAATATCTTCCCTTATCTTTTGTAATTTTTACATATCTTTTATTAACTTTTTCTTTTGTGCAAACTTATTATAACTATTTTTTCATTTCATCTATATATTTCTTTCTTAGTAATTTAAGTTTATCAATTGACAAATTTTGAATATCAACACCTTCTAGTGATGAATAATTACCAATAACTTTATCCGTAGACATGATGTCCTATCACTATCACTAATACCAAAGATTTTAAAATGATTAATAAATCTTTCAATATTTTCCATCAAAGCATAAAATCCGTAATAACTGTGTTCTATATATTCACTTATTTCATCAGGAAGAAAATAATCATCTTCAACATAATCCGAAAAAACAATTTCTTCATTATCTCAGTATAAGCATATTTAATATCATTCAAATCAAAAAACTTATCTTTAGTTTTATATTTATATACCTTTTTTTCTCTTTCAAATTTATCACGTATTTCATTTATTCTACCATTTTGATCATCTACCTTTTCTCTTGGTATTCTTTCATTAATAAAATCTTCAAAATTCGTATAAAAATACTCAAAACACTTATCAATACCTCTTATGAAAAGAAATTCGTTTTCTACCTCCTTGCATAATCTGGACAAACCTTTCGAGACAATAGGGTGTCCGTACACGAACAAACTACCTTATCTTCCTTACCACTCTTTTCCCCTCCATTTCATTTGCTTTTCCAGTCCTATTTTATCCCTACGTACACAAGTCGAAACGCACATTACATTATTTCAACTGACGAATGAAAAACAAACGGCCAATTAGAGTACAAACTAGAAACCAAGTAGAGGAGGCTGCGCAATTGAAAACGGCCCAGAAGTGAAACCAGCCGAGGTCACAGTAGTCCATAGTGAATGACGAATGAAAAGCTTACAAATTTCAGGGATCAGTGACGATAGCCGTAAAGGCCAAAATTGAAAAACACACCAAATAGGGAACAACCCGGACAAAACGAAACAACTAAACTTGAAGCACTATCTAGAAATTTATCCAATCATGAATCAAGCATGTAAAGACAATTCCTCTCGGCCACAACCGAGTTAAAAAATAAATTACGGTACGCCCGGTAGAAATTTGTAAACGAGATTACTCAGCCACACCGGACAGGAAAAGAGAGTTTTCTTGTCCACCACCAAGAATAAAGCACGTAACACTCAAAACAAAAGTGTACAGTAACAACTGAAATTTATCCTCTGCCTCCACCAGGAAAGTAATTAAGTGAATCAGTTGGTTCACAACCGACTATAACGAGACAATAAAAACAGAAATTATGGAACGCCATAGGGAAAGTAATATGCTAAAACCACGCCTGTAAACTACATTTAAAATTCCTCGGCCACAACCGAGTACAAAATATGAAATACAGTTAAAAAAAAAAAAAAGACTTACTAGTCTCAAGCGTGGATGTGTGAAACCCCTGTCGCACAAGAAACTTCAAGACGGTATACTTTAATGCAGGCCCCAACAGACAAAAGAAAAACGACTAAAGACAAACAGAAGACACGAGAAAACGTGATGGAAGCAAACTAAAGAGTGTGTGTGTGTGTGTGTGTACGTTCTGAGTGGAAGTGAAAAAAAGTGAACTGGAACACATACGACGTTTCCTCCTTAAAACGTGTAACTAGGAAGTTTCTGAAAGTTTTACGTTTTATTCCTGCAAAACAACGCCAAAGAAATGTACAAAAAAAGTGTGCTGCAAGTGGAAAGTTGTTTTATTGCTAATGAGGCTAGACCTACCGAATTTTTTGGCCGTTTTCATTGCCGTCACCGCCTAGCATTAGACGATTTTATATTTTGTTCGAGAAAAATATAAATATTAACTTGAGAGCATCACTTGTAGACCTGGCGGCTATATATTTGATGTTGCATAAGTCTTTATTCATGAATTCACCTGTCAAAATTTTGACCAAGCGGGGAGAGGGGAGAGGTTGCTGCTGTAGCGTGACCAAAAACGTGATCAAGCAATGCCTTAGAAATTTGTTTCCCAAAAGTTTGTCGTCAGTCGAGCACAAGAAGCATCAATCTACATTTTCACCCGAGCAACTTAATTAAACTTATTTTTCGCCAAAACAAACGCAAGGTACACGTCCGAGGTTCCCTTCCCTACTCCACTGAGGTTTTTACCTGTACCGTACGGACAGTAGGCGTTCGGTCGTACGTTGACGTCATAAAAATTTTTTTGGGGAGGCATAGGGTCCCAATTTTCTTTAGCGTACGGACGCTCCGCTATGAACAACAATGGCACAGAACTGAAACTAGTCACACACATCAAACATCGAGCTGGAACGGTTGGCCGAGAGGGTTGCCGAGAGGTTTCCAGTACTGAATAAATATATTTACTTCCGTCTAAGTTGATTCCAGTCCTCGCTCGTTTTTACTCACTTCCGCCACGGTTCAAACCGCACCGGAGACTATCCGATATGCGACGCTCCGTCACAGAAATCGCGCCGAAGTCACCGTTCTTGTGTAAACAGAAGGCCTACTTAGTTTATTGGTTTATTTTCCGCTGGATTTTTCTTCTTAAATGCATACTTTCCAGAAAGGCGTAAAGGGTGGAAGCCCCTCTACCGGCATAAAACTTTCAGCAGCTTTTACATATTACTGTAGCGAGAAGAACTAAACGATTTACACCGTTTTATGCGAGATTGATTACCTGTATCCTCCGTTTTCTCTTTTTGTCAATGGTAATAATGATTTATATTTTTGCTCCTTTAAAACAAATATGAACAAGGAAATACACTGGGCTTGTAGAGGTCTTGATAGAACGTGACCGGGGAAGCAAAAAATCAGCCGGGTAGAAACAAACCATTCCCTGGGTATTGACTGTCGGGGAGACTAAATTGATACTGTGTAGACTGAATTAGACCACTGGGTGGGGTTTCACTGGGTCTGTTAGGCCTGTTTCAAACGTCGTGCTACTTCCGTGCTTAGCTGGCTCGACTGTACAGCTGACTGTAGCTCGACTGCAGCACGACACTAGCACTACTTGGTTTCAGACGTCGAATTTAATTCAGTCGAATAGAACGGCTGTTGCCAAAAACAAAACACAATAACAAAGAAACGGTTCAGCAAAGTTTTAAATGAATTCTAATGAATTTGTAATTTATGAATTGAGTTCGGCACGGCAGTAGCACGACGTTTGAAACCAAGTCGAGCTACTGCCGCGTAGGACGGCAAGGCTTGCCGTGCTACACGGCAGTAGCACGACTTGGTTTCAAACGTCGCGCTACTGCCGTGCTAAAGTCGAATTTAATTCGATCAATTTGGACACGGCAGTAGCACGACGTTTGAAACGGGCCTTACAGAGGGGTGTATATAACGTACCCCTGTTCACTAACCAACGATTTTCCTAGCTCCTTGGTTCTTTGTCACATCTGGGTACACAGTACAAACATGGAGCAGTTACAACTAAAGCCCCATTCACACCAACTAAACATGTTTAATTGAACCAGGTTTAGAAAAATGAAAAACAGTAAGGGGAAACTGCGAAAGGATCTCACGCAGGATTTAACTGAACTTAAAACACACTCGGTAATTTTCACATAATTTGTTAGAGGCAAAAGTCAGTAAGTAGCTTTCATGACACAACCTGATTAACTGAACAGCTTTTAATCATGTTTAAGCTTTGGTCTGAATAGTGCATAATAAATTAGCAGGGGCTAAAAATGCGAAAATCATTTATTTAAAGTGTCTCAAGCACTGCAGGTCATCGTATGTTGAATACCTCAGGCGTAACTGTTGCCTGACTACAGCTGTTGTCTGATCGTTTATTGGCGAAGTAGAAGTTTGTGTGTAGATTTCATCCGCAAAGTATAAATGCTCGCGTTTCAGTCGGTTCGAGGTAAGCATGGTCGGTGGTTTTGCTAGTTACTGAAGGTGATTTCATACACAGAAGAGTTATCTGATTCCGTCAATCTCAAAAGAAGATACACAATTGCATGTGAACATATTACGGCATTCAGCTAAGCGTACGCCCTTAAGACAATAAGATTTGCAGTCTATTCATACGAGGGAGAATGTCTTTGTGCTGTTACGGCTTTGCGATAGCTACTATTGTCTGCAATTATGAGCTTGTTAAGTCTACACAATTGTATTGAAAGAAATTAGGCGCTCTGTGTTTTAAGTGCTTAGTAAGCAAAAAGTGGTTACATCATTGATCCTTATTGATCCTAGCTCGCAATGCAACAACATGAACGTAAACTGAAACTAAAGCTGTTGCCTCTTCTTGAAGTTATAAATGAGAGTTATCGTACATGTTCACAGCGCGAAAACTATGGGGCGCCATACTGGACATTATTGCAAACCTTTGATATAAGTGCTAAACTCCAGTTTGATATGCTCATTGTCATATAAACATGCTAAAGTCCAAATAAATATGGTGTATCTACTTCTGTTCTATATGGCCATTGTCATATAATCGTGCTAAACTCCAGATAAATAGCCCGCAATAAATAAATACAGCCTGTTTTCAACCCCTAAATTTGCAGTGTTCTCTGAAAAAAATTAGCATGCTCAACTTTTCATAACGAGCTGCACGGTCTTAGCAACCAAAAAAACCCCCCAGTATCCAGCTGAGATAGCTGAGTAAAAGTCAGCTATCTCAGCTGGATACCCAGTAGCTTGCAACATTCCCTATTCCCTTAATCTCTGATCGTATTTCGCATCTAGAATGATAGAGGCGTCAATTTTCACGCAATCATGTCACCATCCTGGGGCGACAAATAAAATTAATTAAAAATGCAGTATCAAACAAAATGTCCGGAAAAAATAGTTCCGTGCCTTCTAAAAAGAACTTTTTCAAGTCTGCGGTCGATTTCATTGCCAACGTGTTATATATCCTAGAAGCGCTCAGGCATAATAACATTACCCCAGGACTTCTACCTGGGTGAACCAGAAAGGATATAGAACAACAGCCTAGTTTTCTTTTTTTCGGCTACGGGTCGAAAAGCTAAACGTGTTATATATCCCAGAAGCGCTCAGGCATAATAACATCATGCCAGGACTTTTACCTGGGTGAACCAGAAAGGATATAGAACAACTGCCTAAATTTTTTTTTCGGCTACGGGTCGAAATGCTAAACGTGTTATATATCCTAGAAGCGCTCAGGCATAATAACATCATGCCAGGACTTCTACCTGGATGAACCAGAAAGGATATAGAACAACTGCCTAAATTTTTTTTACGGCTACGGGTTGAAATGCTAAACGTGTTATATATCCTAGAAGCGCTCAGGCATAATAATATGCCAGGACTTCTACCTGGATGAACCAGAAAGGATATAGAACAACTGCCTAATTTTTTTTTACGGCTACGGGTCGAAATGCTAAACGTGTTATATATCCTAGAAGCGCTCAGGCATAATAATAACATGCCAGGACTTCTACCTGGATGAACCAGAAAGGATATAGAACAACTGCCTAATTTTTTTTTACGGCTACGGGTCGAAATGCTAAACGTGTTATATATCCTAGAAGCGCTCAGGCATAATAATAACATGCCAGGACTTCTACCTGGATGAACCAGAAAGGATATAGAACAACCACCTAAATTTCTTTTTAAGGCTACGGGTTGAAATGCTAAACTGTTATATATCCTAGAAGCGCTCACGCATAATAATATGCCAGGACTTCTACCTGGATGAACCAGAAAGGATATAGAACAACTGCCTAATTTTTTTTTACGGCTACGGGTCGAAATGCTAAACGTGTTATATATCCTAGACGCGATCAGGCATAATAATAACATGCCAGGACTTCTACCTGGATGAACCAGAAAGGATATAAAACAACTGCCGAAATTTTTTTTTACGGCTACGGGTTGAAATGCTAAACGTGTTATATATCCTAGAAGCGCTCAGGCATAATGATATCATGCCAGGACTTCTACCTGGATGAACCAGAAAGGATGTAGAACAACTGCCTAGATTTTTTTTTTACGGCTACGGGTTGAAATGCTAAACGTGTTATATATCCTAGAAGCGCTCAGGCATAATGATATCATGCCAGGACTTCTACCTTGATGAACCAGAAAGGATATAGAAGAACTGCCTATTTTTTTTTTTTACGGCTGCGGGTCGAAATGCTAATCGTGTTATATATCCTAGAAGCGCTCAGGCATAATAATATGCCAGGACTTCTACCTGGATGAACCAGAAAGGATATAGAAGAACTGCCTATTTTTTTTTTTTACGGCTGCGGGTCGAAATGCTAATCGTGTTATATATCCTAGAAGCGCTCAGGCATAATAATATGCCAGGACTTCTACCTGGATGAACCAGAAAGGATATAGAACAACTGCCTATTTTTTCTACGCGTCGAAGTTCTAAACGTGTTATTCTTAGAAGCGCTCAGGCTTAATAGTATGCCAGGTTTCCAGCGACTGATTTTAGCTGATTTTGCGGTGCGCAAGAATGGATAATTTACCCGACTTGTAAACAGATATTTCCTTCAGCCGATTGTGTCTCATGCAGGAGAATGTCATGTCTGCGTTGTTTTGTTTCTACTGAAGTTTTATCAAAGAAAGCTTGATAGGGAGATCGCAATTTATACTCTTACGAACTATAAATTAGGGCTGACCTGGAAGACGCGTTGAATTGTGCCGCCATCCTTTAAAATATAATCTGGCTGCGTTTAGGGAGACAATTTCCTCTTCCATCCAGATTTACTTGGTATATGTGTTTGCGAGAATCTTCAGACAAAGAATTGGGTATACACTGATTCGAACGGCTTGGCGATACTAAGTGCTTAAGTCTACTTACCGAGCGAACACGGCGCCACCTGGATTGATAAAATTACTATTACATGCAGCTATCATGCCAGTGATTTCTCCTTTCGTCGCATAGTGAATAGTTTGTGAGCACATCCTCGACTCTCGAAACATTTGTCTTGCGCCGCTATATAAGTTGCTTCTCCCGCGAACCATAGGTAGATTTCCCGCTCAACATAATGTTTGATAATTTATGCAAACGTTGACCTTGTGAAAGTCAGCAGTGCATTAATCGACTCAAAAATAAACAGACTTCCTACAGGGTTTTGAACACGGTCTTAATTAAAGTACTTTACGAGCGCTGCGGTAGTTGACCGCAAAAGTGTTACGGTGATGGATACTCAACTGGATGATTACGTCACTTCATAGCAACCAGACGGTACGAATTTTTTAACTTCCGGAGCGCAAAGGCTCGTAGTGATTTCGTATGGTATGATGCACCGCGCGCTTTAAGCAATGCCGCTACCCAGCTCCCTATCGGCCACTGGCGGTAAACCAAAATGGCGGCCCTTGGTGGTATAGCGGGATCAGAGAATCGACTTATATCCTTTTTTCAAAGGACAAAAGCACTTCTTGCAGAAGCGGAACAACACATTTCTATATTTCCATCTATTGAAAACATAGATGAAATAGAAATGTTACACGAAAGGCTGTCTGAGGCTGGAGAAACTGTTTTTATTTTGAAAGAGAAGGCTGCCGAACTCACTAGCGCGGATCGTGATTTGGAAATGGGAAACTTTTATAGCAACATGGATCAGTTGTCCTTATACTTGACAAGACTCCGAGTATATTTGGAGAATATAGCAGATGATTTAAGTGAAAGCACATTGAATGTGCCAGCTCACCAATGCGAAAGGAACTACACAGGTACAAGAGGTCAGCCAAAATTTAAAGTTTCTAAAAGGCAAATACAATTTCTTCGAGAGTTGCACTTTCCTTGGGTCAGAATAGCGGGACTACTCGGAATTTCCACAAAAACTCTAACTAGAAGACGACAAGAGTTTCAAATTGAGGACGAGGGGGAGGTTAACTGGGCTTCACTTAGGAATGGAGAACTAAGAGAAATCATGCAAGAAATAATGACTGTTACCCCTGGGATTGGTCAAACCAGAATGATAGGTGCATTATATAACAGGGGAATAAGAGTGCAGCGATGGAAAGTCAGGGAACTTGTGCGTGAGTTGGATCCAGTTGGAACAGCACTTCGGTGGAGAGGAACTATTTGTCGAAGAAAGTACAATGTACGAGGTCCAAATGCACTGTGGCACATCGATGGGAACCATAAGATGATACGCTGGCGGCTTGTGGTACATACTGCTATTGATGGATATTCTAGGTTGATACCATATCTGCACTGTGCAAACAACAACAGATCCGATACAGTACTTGCACTATTTCAGAATGCCTGCGAAAGTTATGGAATGCCTTCAAGGGTTAGGAGTGACCATGGTCTCGAAAACATGGGTGTAGCCCGAATGATGTTGGAGTGTCGGGGAGTCAACGAGGGAGCATGATAACTGGAAGTTCAGTGCACAATCAAAGAGTCGAACGGCTTCATAGAGATGTGACCAGTGGTGTTCTTAGAAGCTATATAGACGAGTTCAACATGATGGAAAGATCTGGTCTATTAGACCCTATCAATGAAGTCCATTTACTGTCACTTCACCTTGTATTTCTACAGGAAATTAAGAAATCTCTGGATGAATTTACCAGGCAGTGGAATTACCATGGCCTTAGCACAGAAGGTGGTTCATCTCCTCTTCAGCTTTGGACTGAGGGTATTCTAAGATCTGCAAATGGCGGGAACTCACCTCTGGATGGTATTTTATCAGAGGAAGAATTAATTTGGTATGGGGTAGATGAAGAGGATGCCATTTCTGTTTCAGAAGAGGATCAAGAGGTGATTGTTCCCAGCACTAACATACCTTTGAGTGAAGATCAGCTGGGTTACCTTCGCTCCCTAGTACCCACAAACCTAACAAGGAGTGAACGAATCTCTAAATATGTTGAGCTTGTGGGTGTTGTTAATGAGATGCTTTAAGTTTGGGTTTGAAGAGGGGCAGGGGACCTAGAGATTAAGCAACTGGCCATTTTATGGGCTGAGTGTAAGAAACTTTCTCTCTAGGTTTACTGAAATCAAGTTTCAATGTAGAAATACATTTCAATGTAACCATATCATTACTGATAACAACTTGCTCAGTGTCATCGGCAAATTTTACTACAAGAAATAGAAAGCATTCTGGCTTCTCATTTGTCGTGTCCAATGTGTAGCTGTAGCACGTGAGTTCAGGTAAGGAAATAACTTGCATATGTCACAGCATTGACGTTTAATGTTTCCTTCTATTCATTTAGGTGCATACCAATTTCAATGTTAGTTATCCATTAAAATCAAAAGATTTAGCCATCTTTGTATTCCGTGATTCATTACAGAAACAGTTTGCAAACCGGTCTGATGAGTTCTAATTTTAAAGGGTAGGCATCAGGGTTGTGATGCTGTTGTAAATATCAAATATGGGAGGTACTGGGACTAAGACAGCCTTTACCTTAGTACAATATAGCTCGGCTAGCAAACAGTCTTTAGTAGCTGCATTTACTAGTTTTCCCACCCTACCCACCCTGGGTAGTTTTTGGTAGTATATTCATTTCCTTTATGTCTGACAGTCTTGCTGTTTTTACAACTTATGTATACATTTGTTGATTCCATTTGAGTGTAACTAGTCTTATTACCTGTTTCATTTTAATATTGTACCTATATTTGAGTGATTACCTATTTACATGTTGTAATAAAGGCTGTCATAGTCCCAATCCTGGCTGTGTCCTGGTTGGCATTTAGGTCATGTAACAGTGAAATTGGAGGTCATTTGCTTTAGTTTTGTTCACTGTACAGTAGTTGTTGTATTGTTGATTTTGATATCAAGCAGCAAAACAAGTTTTAAGGTTATCATAAGAAATCTGTCAATGATCCGTGAAACAAAATCATTTTTAAATGAAAGCAGGACATTTAGGTCCATGTTTTGAATTGTGCTGATTATAAATTAATCCATAGCTATAGCCATTTGTAACTGCAATAAGCGTAATAGTCTCATGGCCTTTAATAACAGACCACACACCAAGATTTATTGTAACTGACGTGCTTGGTACTTGAAATAAAATACGTGGTGAAACTAAAACAGGAAGAGAGCAAAAATTACAAGTTGTGACAAAGGAAAATCAGAATAAAGAAATAAAAAGCCTGCAAAAACAAGGACTGTGATGTACACTGACTTACATTGTTTCGGACTGCACTAACCGTGGACCAAAATCAACTGAGACCAAACTATACTGCAAAACTATCATAGAATATGCAGAAAATAAAACTATAGAAACTTAGAAAGGTGCTAACGATGATGAAACAGCAAAGAAACGCTAACGAGGGGGGCGAAAACTGACAGAAAGGAATAAAAACTTGTGCAAATAAACCAAATGAAAGGACGAAAAGAGCTATAAACTAATTGCGCAGAAAACAAATAATAGAAAAAATGTTACACTTGCACGTTCCACATTAATAATTATTGATAACTGATACTTAATACAAACACAAGAGACAGTATGGAAAAAGGAGGGACAATGTTTAATACATGTATTATACATTGCATTCTAAGTGTTCCAAGCTAATCAGTCATTTTGGCCAATTGCAAAAAAAAGTTTGTTTCATGCAAAACACTATATTAAGAAATAACATGGGGATAAAGGTAATTCCCTTTATGAAAATGAACAGCAACAATGTCAATGTTTCAGTGCAAAAGTTTGGAGATGGACTTTTCAATAAGAATAGGCCACTTACACTAAGAGGTAACATGACTAATGCTTCCTTTGAACAATGAGTTGGAATCTTGTCAATGCCAAAATTGACAGAGCACATAATTCTGGTCATGTGACCAGCCACGAACTTACTCATTAAGGAAATGGTGCAGGTTGAAAAACCTAATTACTTTTATTTTGTTGAAGCTATGACCCACTAATGTTTTCTTAAGGCAAAATCATGTAACTTTCATTTTCATCTAAACGATATCACGTGACTTCTTAGTGCAAATGGCCTAGCTATTGGAGGATAATTAGCTTCCAAACAAAAAGCCCTAAAAGATTGTTTAGTTTCTGAGTTCTTATGGATAGCCTGTATCTCATGTCAAGTTAAACGTTAACTCTAAACCTTGAAGGGCTAACTTTATGGGCATGAACAAATACGTCTTCAAAGCATAAAATGTAATAACAATGGCAATTGCCAAGTATCAATGGCAAAATACCATGAACAATAACTATAGCGTTCTACCACCAATGAGATATACTTGAAATACTTTTTCATATGCTTAAAATGTAACGGTGGCAATTGCCAAGTATCAGTCAATAAATATGTCTCTAAAAAAGTTAGGAAATACTCCTTTCAAAACACAACATCACTTTAAAAGACCTTGGATTAGCTGTCAAGACTAATCACACACAGTTAAACGATTTCCTTGCAGAACTAGAAATGACTGCTTTCAGCGATGAACTGAAAGCTTCTTCGCTTTCAAAGTGATTTGGAAGAGTTAATGAAAGCAAACATGTGGAAGCAAAAATGGAAGGAGTGTTGTCAAATTTAATCTCTATTTTAGCAAGCCCAAAGGTGGGCAGAGAAGTGGACCCAGTGGCAAAAAAGACAAAATTTTCCAACATTTCAACTTCTGCATTATGCAGGAACTGTTTAAGGTACTTCGCTACAATTCTATCATTTTCACACATCTCGGCTGGAAACTCTAGCATATCAACCAGCTGAGTTGAAGTTAACCTACTCTTATTGCTTGGCACAAAAAGCTCCTCAAACATCTCAGGGTACTCTCTCATTTTGGCACGAAAGCCAAGTACAGCCAATCTCTCTCCCAGCTGATCCAAGACGATTTTGGGTCGGCTTATGACATCATGAATTATCATCCCTTGGATAACCCTCATTTTGTTGTCATTCTATGAATAGAAAATACAATTTGAAAAATGCTTTTACAGTTCTGTCACAAAGCGGTTTTTTAATAAAAGGAATCAATTAAGATAAGATTAGGCTTACAGTTAATACCACTGCCAGGCCACAATCCGACAAGAAATTTGCACATTCTTCTTGGTCAAGTGTCGAGACATCTTTGGCCTGAGCAACCTGTAAGTTGATAAAAACTATGGGTCAATTCTCGCATTTCTGTTCGGACATGCATGTCAATCTGTTGAACATACATCTGTGCACTTACGGTCCTGTGGGACTCAGGTTGGTGCACGTAGATTATGATACATGAATATAGCCACTAGGATGTCAAGCACATTCGTTCTATTTATGTCCTATCCCTCAGTAGAAGCTGTTGACACATCAGTAGTTGGATCAGAAATTATTTGGAATTTTGTTAATGTAGGAGAATCAATCTGGTACATATGGCTGAGCAGCCAGTCATGAAAAGAGAATTTTTTAAGTTTGTTTTTACATTCGACCAAATATGATGATTTATTCATCGCGTACAGTGAACTAAAAATAGCAAGTATGCTGTTACATTTGAGCACATCATTTAACTGTACATTTATACAATACCTTGTCAATGAAATCTTTCACAGATGCAGAACAGTCTTCATAATTCAGCATCATCATTGCCGCGTCAACATCACCCGTTGCTAGGTACTGATACACTGAAGGGCTAAAGACTGGAAACCCTGGCCCGCCTTGCAAAATGCTGTGCACTATAATTGTCCCAATGCATTTCATCATACCAGAAGCAACAATATCAGCATTGTAAACTGGATGCTTGTAACTGTCACCATGGAAGAACATGTTACATATGACTTGGAGAAGTTGGCTAAAAAAGTGTCTGGTTACTCCTCCAGTGTCCACAGCAGGCTGCCCTGTGTAAAGGACTCGTAAGGGCTTGCTAGGATCAAAGCTGGAATCTTTATACATGCATCAGGAGTTCTGCACTTCCTGTTGGATCGCACGGCATTGTGGGTAGGCGGGCTCAGAAAAGTGGGCATCAACTTGCAGCCTCGCCATATTGGATTACATCGAGTGGAATTACATCGAATTACACGTGCAGGAATTTATAAGAAGAACCAAATAAAAGGTATTTTAAAGGTAAGCTATTGTTTCTTTACCTCTTGGCAACGTCATTCTAACGATTTTAGGCTGCAGAGTGTAGTCGATTTGAGATGGCACGAGTATGATTTTTGCTTATTTTATACTCAGACTTATGTCGTATTTCTTTTGTTTAAATGTAGATTAACTTTGTCCATGGGATTCGGCCACAGAAACTGTGTGGTCCTAGGCTGTCCCAACAGTGGACAGAGGCTTGGGAAGTGGGCAGCTACGACCTGTGAGCTTCATGGTTGTAACAATGGTTCAAGCATGTGTGACTGCCAGCCACCCTTCAAATTATTCCCGTTCCCGACAGAAAAGAAGAACCCGGAACGCCGATTACAATGGGCAAAAAATATAAGCAGGAACAGTTTGAATGGGACTCTTTGAATGCCTAACAAGGATTCAAGAGTTTGTCATCTACACTTCGTTGACGGTGAACCAGCGGCTGAAAACCCAGACCCAACTTTGCAACTTGGTCACAGCAAGAAAACGAGAGCCTCCAAAAGCCCACCACCAACGCCACGGGATAACTCTCTTGCAGTAAGATCCAGAAAACGAGCTAAGCTAGATACATGTAGCGATGAAATACCAGTACCTGGTCTTGACCACTCAGCTGAGAACCTGGCTTGTGATGATGTTGAGCTCCAAGACGCTGAGCCCTCTACTTCTATCAATGATTGTGTTGACATAGACAGAGCATCCGTAATTCATGACCATTGCTATGTCTATGGCTGGTATGAAATTAATGAAAATTCGAATTTTTGCATGAACACATGTTGCTCGAAAAGCAGACAAGACAAAGATAAAAAAATCGTGGAACTTTCGGAGAAAATACAGGAGCTAAGTGAAAAAGTGAAGTTGCTGGAAGTTCAACTTGTAGCCAAACAGGATAAGGGATTGAAGCATTCAGATCTGAGAAATGACCAGACTGTAAATTTACTGACTGGTATCCCATCAAAGCCTGCCTTTCACAAATTATTTGACTCTGTCAAAGGATCTATAAAAAAGTGAGATACTGGGGTGGCCCTAAGAAAACATCCAGAAAAGGCAGGAACTTTAGGAAATCACCAAAAAAATTTGGACCAAACCGGGCTCTTTCTCAAAAGGACGAGTTTCTTTTAACACTAATGAAACTCCGTTTGGGATCCACCAATGCAGACCTTGCACAAAGATTTGGAATTTCACGAAGTACCTTATCAACTATTTTCAGCACATGAGTCAAAATTTTGGCTAATGAATTGAAATGCCTAATATACAATCCTAGCATGGAAGTTGTTAAGAAAACACTGCCAAAGAAGTTCAAAAAACCAGGATACTGCAAGGTGCGCCATATAATAGACTGCACTGAAATTTTTATAGAGACCTCAAGCAACCCTGTAATCAGAGCATCAACGTGGTCAGATTATAAGCACCACAATACTGCAAAAATCCTAGTTTCAATCACCCCAAATGGGGCCTTCAACTTCATCTCCGAGACATGGGGTGGGCGCACCTCAGATGTCCATTTGACAAGGGAATCAGAGTTTTACAACATCCTTGAGCCGTATGATGCAGTAATGGCAGATCGTGGATTCACTATTGCAGAGGATCTTTTGCTTCACAGAGCTGACCTTTTTATTCCGCCAGGGAAACGTGGACAAGAACAGTTCACGAAAGCTGATGTACAGAAAACTAAAACAATAGCTAATCTACGCATTTTTGTAGAACAAGCCATCAGGCGGCTGAAAACATTCCGTATAATCAAAGCTGGGATCTTTATACATGCATCAGGAGTTCTGCACTTCCTGTTGGATCGCACGGCATTGTGGGTAGGCGGGCTCAGAAAAGTGGGCATCAACTTGCAGCCTCGCCATATTGGATTACATCGAGTGGAATTACATCGAATTACACGTGCAGGAATTTATAAGAAGAACCAAATAAAAGGTATTTTAAAGGTAAGCTATTGTTTCATTACCTCTTGGCAACGTCATTCTAACGATTTTAGGCTGCAGAGTGTAGTCGATTTGAGATGGCACGAGTATGATTTTTGCTTATTTTATACTCAGACTTACGTCGTATTTCTTTTGTTTAAATGTAGATTAACTTTGTCCATCAGGCGGCTGAAAACATTCCGTATAATCAAGAACGAACTGCCCACCTCTCTTATTGGTAATCTTGATAACATTATCACTGTCTGTGCTGCATTATGCAATTTGTACAAGCCTCTTTGCAAGTAACACGTTATTTTTGGCACAAGATATAGAGTCAAATGTGTAATTCACGAGAAAATCCATACACCCACTATGGAGGGAAATTGGAAATTCCAGGGGGGGTCAATTTGCCACCAGTTTTATAGGAGATAAACATCCATAAAAACACTACTGCACTTTTCATTTGGAAATTCCTTAGGGGTTGGGGGATCGTTTGAAAAATAATTCCCTCCATGGTTTGGGGATGGGCTTTTTCTGCCTCTTCTGGAATAACACAATTCAAGATATCAATAGTATGTTCACAGGTTTAGTGAAACTGATTTCCTTGCACTGGTAGGATGACATTACCACAAATATGCATAAACAGGGGCTTAGCCAGGGGGGGACTAAAGGGCCTGGCCCACCTCTCTGAAAAGTAATATATAGTAAATATATGGGACAATCAAGTCCAGAAAAAGCTCGGGCCTCTCCCTTTTAAGCCTTGGGCCCCTTTGAGCCCCTTTTGACAAAACCCTGGCTACCCCAGTAATACAAAATTTATGTTGATGTCTTAATAAGACCAGTGTAATCGGTGTAGGAAGCAATTTTTTTATTAACAACTTGATGAATGTTTTATACTTTTGACATTAGATATCAAGGATCAAATAAAGCAATGACTAATACAATAATACATGTAGTTGTTCAATTATATATTGCAGGCTCCATGGAAATATGATTGCCTGTTTATATAATCAGTCAGATTCATTTTCTAGGTATTTTTTTAAACAATTTATTTTCGCAGTAGTTTCAGGGCTGGTGAAAGACAATTACTATAAAACCAGGTTAGATTTTCTTCAAGCCTATGCCAGTATGTGGCATTAAATCTGATTGTTTCCAAGTGATAGCCCTTTTGTGTGTATACAAAGAAATAGCCCACTTGCCTCTTTGTTATAGCCATCTCACCCTGGACCTGTGCAAAGTACTGATGCTGCTGCTTTAAAGCTACTTGTCCATTACACATACATAAGTATGACAGATTATGTGCTGAGGGAATTTCATTGGCAATGCTAAAAGGGTTCTTGATCTCTACTACTGCTTCCTCACAACAAGAGCACTCTATCAGTAAGTCTGGGGATGCTCCTAAGTACTGTTTAGTTTTATCAATAAAGATACCACATTCTCTATACCTAACATCCTTGTGGTGTTTTTTGAAGTATTTGATGAATTCCTTAACTGCAATGGTCCCATATCTCTGCGATATTTAAGAGCTGGTAAATTTGTAGGTGGTTTAGCTTTTCCCAATAAGCTATCAACAAGTTTATCGGCACTATTTTCTTTATTGACTTTCATTGATTCTACTTTAGTGAATACTCTGTAAAAGTTTGCCTCAACTCTAAACAGCAATGCTGTGATGTGAATACAAGAGCTGCTCATTCTGAAATTATAAAAAAGGGGAATGAAAATAATCATGTAGCATCTAAAAACCTCAACACTGTTGGGGGCTTCAAGAATAATATTGCCCTGCTCCTAGTTTTGTGAAATTCATCTCCCTATTCTCAGCTTGCACTGTCATGCAATGAAAAATAAAAATGCAAACCATTCAATACAGAAGGACTAGAATCTGGGAAATGAAAAAAGATAAATATACAAAAACCCTTGCCAACTGAATCAGGTCTGTGAAATATTTCAATTGCGAGATATTGGGAAAAACGGATTACCTAAATTTATAAAGCTTTGTATGGAAACGCCATGTTGGTGTCCCTTTCAGGAACACCAATAGGGAGTTTAAGATACGGAGACTACGGACTACGAACTACGGCTGGACGAGCGTTGCCGTTTGTTTGTAGCACTGGGTTGAGTCGTGCAAATATAGAACGTTAAGATTCCACTACAGACGGCAGACTACGAGAGAAGAGGCGAAGAGGGAAACAACATGCAAAAATTTTCTTGTTTTCACCACAGTTCACAAAAATGCAAGTCAGTTTTGCATGTGATCTTATCTTTAGAACAATGAACAAATTCTTCCATACTTGAAGGAAGCAATTATGTACAAGTCGATTCGCGTACAAGTTGATTCGCCTACAACTTTACTCCTTGTTCCATCGCCGTAGCTCGGGTGAAATTGGTAAACAAAGTTTTGGTTGCACAGGTTTTATTTTTTTCGCCCATGAATACTTATGTAAAATATTAAAGAAATAGCTCATTTATTAGATTTAGAAGATGGACTTCTCCGACTACTGATGTGATGTAGTTTGAAGTATTGAAATGCCCAGTTTCGATTGTCTCGAAGATGTTTACATCATTTTCATTCAGCAAATGCGATACAAAAACTCGCATAAACAAAGGTCACACAAGTAGAAAGACACACTAATCAGTTCGAACAAACATTGAAAGTTTTCAAGTGTGAAGAGAGAGTAAATTACCTGCATGATTTCTCTTCTCCTCGGCCATCAATCGGAATTCTGCGTATAAACAGCTAAACTTCTTTCAATATGAGCTTAGCTAGATAAAAATGTAGTCACAACGGTGGATTAAAAGCGTAAATCTAAGCAGAAATTAGACACAACTTACATATTTCGCTTCCCTCTCACTTAAAGCAGGCAAATTGAACCTTTTTTACGAAAAGACGAGATTCTTGAATTACCGAGACGGCAAAATACGAGCAAAATGTCCTCCGTAGTCCCGACTACGCGAAACAGCTCAACAACTCACCGTAGCCGCAGGACTACGCGGGAAAAATGAACAGTCACGTGGTTTTGATCATGCGCAGTAGCATGTTTATCCGTAGCCGTAGTCCGTAGTCTCCGTATCTTAAACTCCCTAATATGGCCGCTGGATACCAACAGAAACATCTGTTTTCGAGTTTTCCTACTAATGCGTGAATTCTTCGCTTGAGGAACTCATAAGGGTTACAGTAAAACCAAAATCGGTAATGTTTTTAATCCACATAAGAGCTTTCCCGGCCGCCAGCTAAATGCCGCGTGACGCTAAAGCCTGGAAATTCAAGTGTCCTCTCTCGCAAAACGAAGAACCCTTTCGAACCAAAAACTTGTTTATGTAAAGATGTTTAGGTGCTGTAATACCTCGTGGAAGTAGAAACTCAGAAGAATCGATAGTTTCTTAGTTTGATTTTTGGTGACGTCAAGTGCAACCTAAGAATTAATTAATAATTAGACCTCAAGTCAGAATGTGCTATATGACAAATGCACCACAGGGCCAGAGGCCAATACCACAAAAAGATGCAAATTCTAATTGTTTCAGTATAGACCAACAAGTTAATCTGTTTTGTGAGTGTGGATACCATTATTTTGTGTTGAAAAAAAAAATCAAATTGCAAGAAAGCAGGTGGTTTTGCCAGGCACGGTCTATCATTAATAGGCCATTAGTTGCTCACTCTCAATCAGAATAAAGGATTTGTAATAGACCACTAGTTGGTTTATACTATACCATGACTCTCTCTTAGTTTCAAGGAGCTTGTACCCTTTTTAATTCCATGGTTGAGTCCCTACCACCATATAGCACCATCACACCAGTAACATGAAACTATGAAATGATATGAAAAATAGGGTTTGACCTTACAAATTAATACTAATTTATGTCCACTTTTATCTATTTTGGTAATAAAAACCCAGCAACACATGTACAGTAGACATTGACTATAAAGCCATTATTCTTGTTCGCACAAATCCATGCAGAATGCGGTGTATCCGATATTTTCATGGAATGAGTGCATTTTGCTTTTAAAAAGCAACATTCCGAGTCATCCGTGATTTTATGATATGATATCTCTTTCAACCAGCCAGAGTCAAACAAACGATACGCCTTCCCTTCTTTGTATTCATTTAGGACGCGTTTGTGGAATGCAACATCCTTCCCTCATCAAAAACAATGTTATATCACTCAGGTATATCGGCGGCCAAGAAGTCATGTTCTCGCTTTCCTTCACCCAGCCATCCTTCAGTGTCAAAGGATCTGGAACTGAGGTCCCGTTTGGCATTATGAGTAATTTTGCCTTCTCTTTTTCGGTAGTAGCAATTCGTTCCAGAGCAGTTGGCTTGATGGAAATGCCCATTTCCGCCGCGGCAAATACGCCGGCTACAAGTTCAGCTTTGGTTCCTGAAACCTTCAAGTCCCGCTTGCAACAGAACTCTTTCAGTTGCTCAGGTTTTCATGTCTGGATAACCTCGAAAGGCAGCTCTTCACGAATCATGTCACACCTACATTATAACAAAATAAATAAAAAGTTAAAATGTATTCAACTATCAGAGCTTCACCTCTGCTCTGACTTCTGTCCATTTATTTAGTTAGGAGATAAAAACAAAACAGAACAGAAATACGACTCCTTACCTGTTTTGGCCTTGTCACTGGAGTTTCTGTAAGTGAGTCTCGTTTCGATTCGATTGTGAATACAAAGGGTAATAAATCAAGCGAAACAACTTCAAACAAGCAGAGATGGCGACCAAACAAGGATTTGATGCCCACTTATCTCAGTCCAACTGTATTTTCTATATTCCTGGACGTGTAATCCAATATGGCGAAGCTGCAAGTTGATGACCACTTTTCTGAGCCCGCCTAACCACAATACCGTGCGGTCCAACAGGAAGTCCAGGACTCCTGATGCATGTATAAGCAGGCTTTAAAAGTTCTGCATCAGCATCCTCATCTGAGTCAATTTCATCAGGAAGATTTTGGGAGGAGAGGGAAAGAGCAGCACGACTAACACTCCCATGGCAGGTTAAGGCACGTTGCAGCAAGCTGCTGCTTTTTTCCGGAAACATCTCTCTTAATTGGTCTAACTCTTCCTGGTTTACATGTATTGCACTGCTAGATGCTGTTGCACTGCTTGATGGGCCAGCGACGGAAAGGTATGAAGCATTTGAAGGACCACTATATGCTTCGACAACAGCAACTTCCACTTGAACTGGGTCTGGACTCTGGGGAGGACTGTCAATGTCGCTAGCAAGGTTGCCAGAGATATCATGCGCTGGTCGAATGTATATGCTCCCTTGCCCGGCAAGGCTAAGAACACGGGAAGATGAGAAATACACACCTGTAGCTAACTTTGGTGTGATTATTTGGCCATAGCACGACTTTCTTTAAGAGCTGGGAATACCTCTCTTATTTGAGCTCTCAGATCTTCCTCCTGTAGAGACTTATCTACTGGAAATGCATGAACAACAAAACCGTTGTTTTCCAATCGACATCGTGTCTGGTGCGTGGGAACTGATTTCGTGTCAGGAGAAGGAAGAAGAACTACATCTTTATGCACTATATCTTTCTTTGTTTTTTGGGGGGGAGGCCGTTTACCCTTACTAGATTTGCTTTCAGAAGATTTTTCACCAAATGATGTCGTGCCAATAGTCGGAAATAAATTTCTTAACTGAGTGCTGACTGGTGTGCTTTCCATATTTACATTTCTTGTCTGACTTGATGGTGTTCGCGTCGACAACACTCCCGTTTCATGATGTCTCTGACTCAACATTCGTTGCTCAATAGGCTGCACATTACCATCATTAAAATTGTCCACTAGTGACCTTGCCTGGCGAGCGATATTCAATAATGCCTCTCGAAAATCTTCGCTACTTTCCGCCATTACTGCCCTATTGCAATTCTCAAAATGGCGGCCTATTTTGGCCGATAGGGATCTGGGTAGCGGCATTACTTAAAGTGCGCGGTGCATCATACCATACGAAATGAAAAGTTGAGCATGCTAATTTTTTTCAGAGAACACTGCAAATTTAGGGGTTGAAAACAGGCTGTATTTATTTATTGCGGGCTATTTATCTGGAGTTTAGCACGATTATATGACAATGGCCATATAGAACAGAAGTAGATACACCATATTTATTTGGAGTTTAGCATGTTTATATGACAATGAGCATATCAAACTGGAGTTTAGCACTTATATCAAAGGTTTGCAATAATGTCCAGTATGGCGCCCCATAGAAAACTGCACTGAGAAGCTGCTCTAATTTAAACGTCAGCTGACTGATTGCTGTTAAGCTCTAGCTTAAGCTCGAAAGCTCGCGTAATTGAATCATCTCTGATCCGTCCCCTTTCTATATCATTCAAACACATCCTCGTCCCCGTTGTAAACGAGCATTGCAATGTTTTTACGGTCCTCTTTTATTGGCAACAACAAGATGCTTTGTGCTTTTTTTTGCCACGTAGACTTATTCAGGTCGCGTACGTGACCAGCCTGGGCTGCCTGTGCCCGACGCCAGCTTCATTTGAGATATGTATGTATGTACAGTAAAAACCCGCAACTAAGAACCTAAAAGTTAAGAACCTGTTAGCCTAAAATTGGTCATTTATACCCCCTATAAACAAAAAACTATTTAGCCTAAGAAATTTAAAACAGGTTCTTATTTTCTAAAATCATACTAGTACATTACAGTTGCATTGCGAGAATCATATTTGAATCAAACAAAGCAGATTGCCATTGTTGTAAAAATGTTTTTAAAGAAAAATGAGTGCCAGATATGTAGACTTACAAAGCATACTAACTACTTTTTCTCCAGGATTAAGAACCCATTTTAAGGACCTAAATAGCCTAAAATTCTGTTAACTACCATTTATATAAGAACCTGTTTAGGCTAACTCCTATGTAACTCCTAAAAATGTAGGTTCTCAGTTGCGGGTTATACTGTATGTCATATCATCGCATAGAACGGCCTTCAAAATCGAGGCTCGTTCCAGTGTCTTTCGTTTGCAGTCAATCGATTCAGGAAGAAAACAAAAGAACACTGAGAACATAGATAATGTATGATTTGGAAAACTTTAAGCCCAGGAGAAATCCTGTTAGAAAGCCACGTTTTTGCAAGCGAAGAGTATGGATGCAAGTGAAGGTAAAAATTCCCTTGAATTGAAGCGATACGTTTCTCAGAATATTTCAAGCAATTCCTGGAACTGTTTTGGTTAAATTCGTATTCAGCCCCCGGATTCAGCCAGGCTTTGTTGTATTTATTTAAGTGATAAACTGCTTTAGTTATGGAGAGTTTTTCTGGTCGCCGTAATTTTAGGCGACTTTAGGAAAATTTGGTCAAAATGTTGTGCAACTTAAGGCGATTGAAGGCGACTTTAGGAGAAAAAGGTGACATTTAAGTGAATTACATGTTAGTGAATATGTTGCAGTTAATTTTTTATTTCAGTTAATTTTTGGTTTCCCTTTGTCTTTATTATAAATTCATTAGCATACATAACCATACTCAGAAACAATGGAAAAATAAAAATTAACTGAAATAAAAAATAACTACAACATATACAAAATTGAAATCTACTGCTAACACTACCTCTCTAGGGACATAATGTCACAGCATAAGTTAATTAAGTCTTCATTAGTCTTCCAAGTTTTCAACAATCTCAGCTACCTAATATTTTGAACATTAACCCTTTAAGCCCCAACATCCACATACAAATTCTCCAAACTGATCTCTACACATTTCTTTAAAGAATGAGTTGAGAGAATTTGATAAAAGATCAAAGTAGTTTCTCTTAGTTGATCATTTAATTAATTCTCATAACCTCATCTCATGATAAAGTATAGGTATCGTTAGGATAAACTTGCTGTTGGTCAATTTTTGGGACTTAAAGGGTTAAATATGAAGGTAGCTTGGGTTGTAGATGTATTCTAACCCTGGTTAGTAACATTTGTGAAGCAGCACTAATATCCTTGTTCTGGGCCCCAATGTACTCAACATTTTGAGTTTCCCTTCAACATAATTGGCAAATGGACAATAGCACTTTTAACAGTCCAGTCCTGGCAGGTACTCAAATCCTGACACACACACAGGGGGCCCAGAACTAGGATTTTGCCGCTGTTTTGCAGACGGACTTAACCTAGAGTTTAGTTCCATCTGTGGCACAGGCAAAAAATATTAAGGGTGTTGGTTTTGTGTTACATTAGCAGAGACAAAATCTGACTTAGAAGCAACCAAAAGGGTAAATTTTCTCTTAGCCTTTAATTGAATTATTTTACAATATAAGGGACAAAAAAATCAATGCTTCCTGCATTTCTTTTTCCAAAAAAACCCTAAAAGTACAGTATTTCAATGCATCTCTGTAAAATACTGTAAGCTGGTTTGTAGCAAAAACTTTATATTGAAGTGTCCTTTTTTCATAATTTGACAACAAACATCTAAGTAATTAATTTAAAACATCTAAAATCACTTATCGATATTGCACATCATGGAAATGACGATCCCCATTGTATGTCTTGGCAGTTGCTCTGCCAATGTTTGTCCTCACACGTTTATAAATATAAAGATGGTAGTTCTCGCCGTATATATTGCTCCTTTCTTGTCTCAGTCAAACAAAACAATTCCAAATACTTGCTTCGCTAGTGAACTGTACTCTCTTCCCATGGTCTTTTTGGAAACTTCCCAGTCGGGTTGATTTCATGAGTGCATTTATGCACCAGCTGAAACAACTAAGCTCAGCTTCCACCATCCTCGCTCTGTTCCACGCAGCAGCATTATGCGTCATGTTTAAACCAATGGCAGTACCAAGTGTAAACGTTTCCATTATTGTCTTAGAAATTTCCATTTAAATGGAGATCTTCAAACGAGAACGCAACATACAATTGGCAACAACAAGAGCGCATTTCTATCCGCCGTTTTGTTTTTCCCAGAAGCTAATTTCGATTGTTTCTCGGTCCCGGCCTCTCCCCGCCTCCAGACCAGCTAGTCACGTGACCAAAACACGCTACTTTCTTGGAAAGAGCTGTATTATTTCGCTTTTCTACGTTCTTCATCAATAATGGTCGATTACATCAAATCGTTTGGCAGGGAGCAATCACGACAACATAAACAAAGCCCAGTTTTACGAACCTTCGATTTACAAAGCTTGAATTTCTGTCTGGAAGAGAAGACCTAAAGAGACGACTGTACAAGCTAAGTTAAGTTTTCAAGTTTATGAGAGTGATTGTGTTTGTGTCCATGATAGATGGATATAATTCGACGGTAAATACCGATCAGAGGTTGTGTACTGGAGAAATAACTTATCATTGGTTGCCCGTAAAATCTGGTTCGGCAATTTACATGGACATTTTTTTCGATACACCTTTAGGCTTGTATTTACTTGTTTGCCCTACTTACCAGAAAATTTAGATTAATGTTGTGGCGGCAATAATTGTTTTCCAATGTTGGACTCTCTCAAAGTAGTAGAAAAGAGACTTTTTAGATTATATTTTGTTCAGGGTGCAAAGAAAGTCAGCTTTACAGCTTGCTATTGCGGCACGCTGTACCTAGCATGCACTAGCCTGAAAGCCATTTTGACTACCCCCAATTCTTTTTATGAATGGGATTTATTACAGTTCTTCTGTAATCTGAATTCCCCAAAAAACTTTACTTGCCAGCCAGGCGAGTTAAAAATGCAGTTTACCAGTCCAATCATAAAATCCAGTACCCGAGGGCTATTACCTGGACACTACTCTGTTTACTCTCTTTGCTCGCTGTTTAATATAATTTCACTAGAACTTGAACCTTTGAATGCCTTTTTAACAACACTTTTACTCGGAAATATGAAACAAACCTCCCCGATGATATAAATAAAATACCTGTACAAGTGACTGGATAGAGTTGTGTACCATATGTTGTCATTTTTGTGTAAACAATACAGGAATGATTATTCTTGTATTGCTTACAACTAATTATTATGTGTATTAAATTCCCTAAAGTAATAGAATGTATAAATTAGAGGGCTGGAGAAGAAATCAACTGGTCTTAAATCACTGTTGGAGTTTTTTGTGGGGGGTGGGAGGATGGGGTGGGTCTGTGGCTAATATTATTGAACATGGGTTATTACACACTTTATGACAAATCATGCATTCTGGAAATAGAAAACTAAAAAAGTAATAACTACGAGACAATTTGAACCTCTTTAAGATTTTAATGATTTAAAGTGACTTAAGGTGATTTTAGGCGACTTAAGGCGATTTTAGGCGACTTAAGGCGACTTTGGGCGACTTTGGGCGACTTAAGGTCCCAGAGTAGGCCTTTTACAGCGTAGCTGTAGAGCTAATATCTTCGAGAAAATAAGTTAAAATAAAATATAATATGCTATATTACAATTCTAATATTATTTATAAGCTGTATACAACATAATGCATGCAGAGGGAAATATAACTTGTAGATCTACTGTGGAAAAGCTTCATATCTGAGGACCTCCTGCTTGAATTCTAGAAAATTTAACGTTTTGTAGGTGTCTGGGAGAGAGTTCTATATTTTGCTAGCTAAGTATGAAAAAGAGTGCAGACCGTAAGTCGTTGTTTTTGGGTTGGGAAGGGCCAGGATATGATTTCCGCGCAAATTGTAGGATGAAGACCGTACGGTGAACATATCTTTTAAATGACCTGGATAATTCGTAAAAAACAGACTCTTATATAATGTAATCATGAAGTTCTGGAGGCGTCTAATGAATAGAGATTTTAAGTTAACTTTGCTTAGTAAAATGTCATATGGAGAGCTGTAGTCTTGTAGTATAAACCTAAGAATGCGCTTATTTAGATTATCTACTTTGTCGGCGTTGCGCGCACCACAGAAATGCCAAACAGAAGAACAGTAGTAAATGGTAGCGTCTGCACCGGCACAAAAACCAAACCGGATGGGGCTTCTGTTCAACAGTGATTTCGGCAAGATGTCTGTAACGAAACGAAGCTGCGCAGCACCGATTTCTAAAATGGAGTAGCCTGCTAGCAAGCAGGTGTTAATACTTTTTTACCGGAATAATTAGCTTTTCGTGACGACGCGAAAAGCTATTCGTTATAGTGTCCATAGCCTAAGGCTCTCATTCCATACAGAATTTTATTTCCCTTTTTTAAAAAGATGCGTGTACCAAATAATGAAAGTTAGAATAAAGTTCTTAATTAGAAGCTAACTATAAATTAACATCGAGGATTTATATAAAAAGTAAAGAAGATTTAACCTGGATAAATCACAACATGATATTCATGATCACGCTAAGTCAAGCATAATTAAGCTTCTAATGCGTAAATAGAGATCTTTTGACTGACAATTCACTCATGTCTGCAGAGTCGGTTACCTACATGTTCTACCTTTTCAGTTTGAACTCCATTTTCCCTGTCTTAAATTATTCCAGATTTTACTACAAGAGAACAAGGTGAAGAATGAGAGAATGCCACGAACATATTCTGCAAAAGCTCATTGTAGAACTCGTCAAGGATTTAGAGCCAGAACCGCTGTTACTTCATTTGTATCAGAAGGGAATTATAGATCAAGATGACATGGACGAGATACGAAGTAAGAAAATTCGTAAGGACGTAAACGAGGATCTAATCTTTAAGCTGATGAGAAGAGGTCCGGAAGCTTTTCCAAATCTTGTTAAGGGACTGCAAAGGAAACAACCATTTCTGGCCTGCTCACTTTTGAAAGAAGGTAAAGTAAATATTGGACAATTATGTGACTATCTAGATCTGCAACAAACAAACCACACGAAGCAAGTTTGTTGTGATAATGGTTAAGCAGGAGATCATGGGCTCCTGGCTCTATAAGTTGGCTCTTCAACTGTTAAAACTATATCTAGACAGTATTAGGATAAATAGAAGAAAATATGGATAGAAATAAAATATTAAGTGATAACAACAGAAGAAAAGATGAAAATGATAATAATAATAATAATAATAATAATAATAATAATAATAATAATAATATCAATGATAATGATAAATACTACTACTACTACTACTACTACTACTACTACTACTACTACTAGTAGTGCTACTGCTACTGCTACTGCTACTGCTACTGCTACTGCTGCTGCTGCTACTACTACTACTACTACTACTACTACAAATAAACGTTTTAAAACAACTCAGTGCTGTCATATAATGTCTCCATAACGCTTCTTTAGGTGAGATCCTTTATCACTGAACAAAATGGGCTGCAATTTTAATGCTTTAATCTTGTTGGGTAAGGTATTAAAATAATCTCCAAAAATTTCTTGAAAAAGCTCCCCTCTGCTGTGTTCTAACCATGTTTAAAGTATAACTTGAGCGCAAGGTTTTGGTACTTCCAATTTAGCATATCCTGCTACTTAAAGTAAACTAAGATGGCTCTTAATAAACTAAAATATCTTCATCCACACATTTTTTGGTAGCCATCCAGGCTTTTGATAAAGCTTTTTGTCTCTTAGGCCCTTTTTATATCGAGAAAACCTGTTCCGGGTAGAAGGGCCACCCTCCCAGCCGAGTCAACTTTAGCGAGCAAACAGCGCTCACCCATGCTCTGATTGTCTCGCCTTGACCGAGTAGAGCCAAAGCCCATTCTCGTCCCCAGAGCCGGTCGTTTCTTGGTCACGTGCTCTTGAAAATACAAGAAGACAAGAATGGCAAAGCCATTATATGGAGAAAAAGTGGTCTGGCTAGGAGGGTAGCCCCATCAACACAGCCGAGTAAGATTTTTTTGTTTCTCGTGTAAACGGATCGTCACGGTTTTTACGGAGATGTATGATAAGTTGGCTCACCCAGGGTAGCGCGACTCTTCTACCCGTGGCAATATTTCTCCATAAAAACTGGGCCTAATTTTCTTATTCAACTTATCTGCTGTCGCACCAAAGAGCTGCTTAGTTGTTTCAAGTCATCCGATGATCTGACTGTCTTCCACTGGCATGGGCGTTTATCTCTTGAATAAAAATATAAACAAGAACAAAACGTCTTGAATGTTTTATTTTTCATTTCTTCTGCAGAGAACAAGAGGCTCTTAGAACTCGAAATTGAACTCGACAATTTGAAAATCGAAACAGAGGATCTGAAAACCAAATTGCAGCGTTTTGAAGAAAACAAGTGCTTAGGTAAGTGTAAGAATTTAGATGCTTAAATAAGAGCAGCTGACCCCGACCGTTTCATGATACAAATGTGAAACGTTCAAACTCTGATCAAAGGAGGCACGGCGCTTCTAATCGTTACATCACATGCGATGATACTATACAGCCTACAGTAGCGCCTATATATCTTAAACGTCTCCCTCACCTTCCTCGTGTAACTACTATGCCCGGCAGTCATGTCCAATACTGCCGCACTGTTACGGACCGTTAAGAGCAGTTAACGGACCGTATGTTCTGCACAAACCGTCACTATTACTCACGGTCCGTATGCTGAGCACATACGGAGCGTGCATCTCATTATTACCTCAGGGCACAATGCGATACGGTTCGTTCGATCCGTACGATCCGCACGGCAAGAGAGGGGCACTCCAACTGTAATATTCCTCGTTCTATAAACCATAAACCAACACAAACGCAGAAACCAAGAAAGGCGCACTCCAAGTGTAATATTCCTCGTTCTATAAACCATAAACCAACACAAGCGCAAAAACCAAGAAAGGCGCACTCCAAGTGTAATATTCCTCGTTCTATAAACCATAAACCAACACAAGCGCAAAAACCAAGAACGGCGCACTCCAAGTGTAATATTCCTCGTTCTATAAACCATAAACCAACACAAGCGCAAAAACCAAGAACGGCGCACTCCAAATGTAATATTCCTCGTTCTATAAACCATAAACCAACACAAGCGCAAAAACCAAGAAAGGCGCACTCCAAATGTAATATTCCTCGTTCTATAAACCATAAACCAACACAAACGCAAAAACCAAGAAAGGCGCACTCCAAGTGTAATATTCCTCGTTCTATAAACCATAAACCAACACAAGCGCAAAAACCAAGAAAGGCGCACTCCAAGTGTAATATTCCTCGTTCTATAAACCATAAACCAACACAAGCGCAAAAACCAAGAAAGGCGCACTCCAAGTGTAATATTCCTCGTTCTATAAACCATAAACCAACACAAGCGCAAACACCAAGAAAGGCGCACTCCAAATGTAATATTCCTCGT